TGGTGAAGGAGGTTAAGCTCCTGGTTTTCCCAGTTGTATTCTTGATTCTTTGATGTGAATAAAGCCGATTCATTACCATTTCTTGTTGTGAGTTTTACTGAAGTGTGCGAGTGAGGTAGAAAGTTAAGATTCTTACCCAGATTCCTAACAAAGTAGTCTAACCTGCCGGATCCCAAATCGGAGGGAGAACAAGATGGAAGGGAAGTTACATGCTCTGGAGAACCGAATTGAAGGAAGAATGAACGTAGTTGAAGGACGAATGGAACATCTGGAGATGGCAGTAGACGGATTGAAGGCGGAGTCAGCGGCAAACCGGCAAGACTCAATCGCGATGCGTAAAGATATCGAAGAACTTATGCGGTTGATGAGTGCGTGCACCAAACCCGCCGATGAGAAAGCTGATGGAAGCCAGAGTTCAGTCAATGACAATCGGAGGGACTGGCACGATGACGCAGAAGGAGAAAGAGATGGGGAGCGTTCAAAGAACCCACCCAATTGGAGGCGAAGGGTGGAGTTACCCATATTTGAAGGACCCAATCCTTTGAATTGGATTAATAGGGCCGAAAAATTCTTTGAGATACAGAAGGTGGCGGAGGCTAAGAAGATCGAACTGGCCCATATTAGCATGGAGGGCAGCGCGGGGTACTGCTTCAAATCCTGGAAGAAGAAAGCCAAGAATCGTTCTTGGAATGGTTTGAAGGAAGCCCTGGTGATACGGTTTGGAACCATCATTGAGCGTTTGGCGGTATCCAAACAGAAGAGGACGGTGGATGAGTCTGTACAAGACCTCAAGATTTTGGCAGGTCGCGGGTTAGAAGACGAGTCATTTGGGGGACAAATGCGAGGAGCTGTGACCGAGCGGTCAAAGGTCAAGTACTGTAGACCAGACCGATCGGGATTGTTCGGTCCAGGCCATCAGTGGCCAAAAAAGAGTCGAGGGACGGTCATTTTGGGGGAGGATGAAGAGGTGGAGACTGAGGAAGCTGAGACCGAAGTAGAACGAAAGCAGACGGAGATGTCCGCTTTCTCGGCTGGAGGCCTCACTCAGAAAAAAATGATGAAGCCGAAAGGTTTGATAGGGGACCGAACGGGTATGGTTTTGACCGACAGTGGAGCCAGCCACAGTTTCATAGGCAAGGTACTAGTATAGGATCGGGGTTTACCCATGGAGGATACCCAACCGTACCAGGTGAGCTTTGGGGATGAGTAGAGGAAGAAAACCAACACCGACCGAACGGTTGAAGTTAGCGAGAAGGAACTGAATGGTAGATCGAGTGTTGCCGAGCGGTCCGAGGTCGAACGCAATATCCTAGGTGAGGTTGTCGAACGGTCCGAGACAGAATTAGACCTGAAGCAGACGGAGTTGTCCACTCTCTCGATTGGAGGCCCTATTTAGCCAAAAGCGATGAAGCTGCAATGTTCGATAGGGGACCGAACAGTATTGACCATTAAAGGACGAAACCGAACGGTGGTCCCCATTATTGGACGAAACAGAACAATATTGACTAGGGTGTTCGATCAAAGAGGGAAGAAGGTATTCAGCAAGGGGGATCCAACACTAGCTAGAAGGTGGGGGAAGCCAGACGCTTTGTTAAAAATAAAGGAAGTAGGACCGTGGACCTTGGTGTGGAATTTGGGGGTGCTAAGAAGGAAAGAGGAAGAATGGAAGATAGTGAGGGAGAAATTGCCACCACCTAAGCCTCCAGACCTAAATTGGTGGGCAGTAGCCAGTGGATTCTCTTCAGATGATAACAAGATGATGAAGAGGTGCCAAGAGACCAAGCTTTTCGGTTCCAACCTTGGGGACAAGGTTGATTCTAAAGGAGGGAGTAATGTTAGGACATGGAGGGTTTATGAAAGGAGAAAGGTGAGGAAGTACTTAACTGCTAAACAGTTAAGTAGGGCGGGAAAAGGGTCTTTATAAAAGGACCTCTTTTATTGTTGTCAGTAGGCAGTTTTTAACTTTGAGTTGTAGACCGGTTCAAACTTGGTGAAGGAGGTTAAGCTCCTGGTTTTCCCAGTTGTATTCTTGATTCTTTGATGTGAATACAGCCGATTCATTACCATTTCTTGTTGTGAGTTTTACTAAAGTGTGCGAGTGAGGTAGAAAGTTAGGATTCTTACCCAGATTCCTAACATGTACATAAACGCTGTATCTCTCTCTTTCAAGATAACAGTAACAGAATTCAGTATCTCCTAAGGGTTCACTACCCTGTTGTGATGGCCCTAACCCAAATAGCTTTCTGATTTAGCCATTGGACCTTTTCCCTGAACAGCCCACTCTTCATTTTATTTTATCTGTTCAAAACCCCATGGTGATATGCATTATTTTGGAAAAGAAAAGTTTTCTTCCTTAAAGACTACCAATCATATTTTGTGACGTTTCATAGTTTAGTTTCTCCACTTATCACCAGCTATATTAAACAAGAATTTTGAAATTAGTGTACGCTTGACTTAAGAAGCATCTGCAAAATCAGACACTTTGAGGGAAAAGAACTTCAATAGAAGTTAGCAGTTGGACAATACTTTTAAAGTATTCTAGAACAAGTAAACAATTAATGGCATACTGGCAAAACTTCATTGGCCATGTCGAGAACAACAGCATTAGCATCAGCAAAAGGTAATAATCCGGCTAATGAACCTCTTCCAGCCATTCGGAAGCGCCCAGAGTTGTACAAAACTATTAGATCAACCCCTCCAGCTTCTTCAAACTTGGCAGATATACCAGTCCCTGCACCAGCTCCTATTATAGGAATTCCTTTATCTATTTGATGTTTCAGTTGCTGTAATATGAGCTGTGTTTTCTCCAAAGTTTCTGCAAGCAAAAATGAAATCATTTCCATAGTTGACATATATTTTCTACCAAAAGGAATTCTGGAGAGCGCCTAATATAAGTCAAATTAAACAGCTTTTCAGCACAAAAAGAAGCAATTGGCTTTCAATAAATCTCTTTCAGGCCAACACGAAATAAGTTTTACAAGAGCAAAACACACAAATAATGAGTAAAATTGAAAGAACTAATTACTTATTGCAAAATACTGATTAGCATAATGCAAATTCAAATTAAATGAGAACCTGTTCTAGCTTCTGGGAATTCACTAGGTGGATAGACGATGGTCCCAAAGCTTGATGCATTTGAAACATAATCTTCATTAAATTGTTCAACAGATTCAGGATTGACAACTTGTTGTTGAGTAGAATCTGTACTAGTTTTCTCATTAATCTCTAAAAATGCATCAACCAATGCATTTGCAAATTCAAGGTCATTAATATGATGAGGATACACCTTTACCTGTACACAACTCTTTTAACTTTACAAAATACTCAGCAATAAATAAAATGAAATTAAGAAAACTTGAAGCTGATAATTATGATAAGGAATACTATCGAGCAACCATAGTACCTGTCTATCACCATTAGTTGCAATAAGGTTTTGTAATTCACGAAGAAGAGTACCAGTTGCATCTGGATCATAGAAAGGCTTCCCAGGTGCATCTAAAGCAGATACGCCCTTCTCTGGAAGGCACACACAAATCTTAGATGATGAAGTCTGCAGTTTCTTTGCTATGAAATCAGCAAATTTTTTGTTCTCATCTACTGTTGTTCGCATGAGTGAAACCTGCAAAAATAAATAATTGATTTCTTATGTTGGCATAAAATAATGACTTCAAGCATTTTAACACATGGTAAACATCTTCAGTTGCAGGGAATGATAAAGTGTATTGTGAAAGTCCAGTTTTGGTAGTAGTCACAGGATTGCAGGAAATATGCATCTAAGTTCAAGGAGAAAATGATGAACAAAATACTTTGTAGGATCTTACAGGTAATCTAATCACAAGCAGATATGACTAGTTTTCAAGCAAAGACCAAAACAGAACGCAGTCATATAGAATAGTCACCTGTTTATTGTGTTCATATATATTTCTCTGCTGAAATTTCGATGGTATAGTATCTTTTGCTCCAAAGTTCACCATGTCTAATGCCCCCACACTCAAAACTAACGGGATTTTATTTTCTATGATGGCATCAAAACGAGAACTATCACAAGCCATTACACCTCCAACTATGTAGTCTGCTACCTCTGTCGTTGTGATGTCAAAAACACCCTAACCGAAAAAGAAAGGAAGATGAGTGAACAGAAAAGGAGACACAAATACATAAAGAAGTATCTGCAATGAAAAAAAATAAATATAAAAAACACAATACAAGTGATTTCAAAACGCTTATCCCAAGTCATTTCATCTGACAAGATCACACAATTATGTGCAAGAACCTTATGAGTTTACTTTCCCAAAACAGAATACGTATCCATATATCTAAAATAAAATGAAGGCGGTATTGAGTTTAATAAATACTCAATGTTCCTTGGTTAGGGTTGAAAATGACTAGGCAAAAAATGAATTTCTCTCCAAGAACATTCAATATGCTCGAGTCAGCGTAAGTAGCTTAGCCTTGACAGCCATACAGTTAGGTCATAGGCCTGTGCTCTTGATGTATATAAAACAAGTCCAATCAATTGGAAGCTGCAACTAAACAAGGATCATAACTTAACCTCCTCAAATGTGACATCCATAAGGTGCATTGATTCAAAAAGTAAGGAAATTGCAACATGAAGCCTCAACAGAAAATACTGTCCTAAGCGTAAGTATTCTAAATTCATAGAAGACCAAAGCAGAATTGTCCAGATAAAATATTTCTTATACTATGATTTCAAAACAAGTGAAATTCCAACACGTTCAAAACACAACATCAGCTAAATTTCCCATACTTAAATATACACGGACTTAGCTATTTCAATACCTGTATAAACCCCTCTCTAACCAAATTCTCCATGGCCCTGCCACCAACCCCAGTTGCATGGAAAACCAGGGTCTCATAACCTTCTTTATGCAACCTATCCTGGACAGCATTAACACAAGGAGTAGTAACTCCAAACATAGTTATCCCAACTGTAGGTTTATCTTCAACGCTAGAAGAATCCTTTAAGCTCTGAATCCTTCCAACAACCATCCCAGCAAATGCAGCCGCGGCATTAGACAAGATCAGTCTGCTAACCCTGTTGATGCCTGCAATGTCCACAACAGATGGGAACAAAACCAAATCTGAGGTTCCAACATAAGGTTCAGTTTGACCGCTGGCCACTGTGGAGACGATGACCTTGGGGATCCCAATCGGGAGAGAGGTGAAGGGAGACGACAGCAGTGACGTACCCCCACTCCCTCCAACACCAATAACACCAACAAGACATTGATCCTCATGAGACTTCTTCAAGAACTGCTCCAATGCCTGGCTCATCGCGGCAACCGCCTTGCCCCTGTCATCCGGGAGAAGCAAGGGTTCGTTTGTCCCAGTGTTGTAGGAAGAGACAACGTCATTCCTGGAAATAAACGGGAAATCTTGCAAACTTTGTGGCGCATTCGAACCAGTGGAGACATCAACCACCACCACCTCTACCTGTCACCAACTCCCATCAAAATATAACTAATCAAACTACAAAAAACACGATTTAGAGTCTGAAATATATATTGCTCTCCGGTAGTGACTGTTCACATTACCTTGACATGATAAAACTTCAATTAATTTGCCAATATGTCGCTACTTTCACCAATTAATTAGCTTAATAAAAAGTTTCATGTTAAAGAACTAATTTCTATATTCAGATAAAAACAACAAAAAATACTAATTAAGGGATCAAATAGAATAATGGTGGTAGCTGTTGCATGAATTGAACAATTATGAGTACTACGTGTGTACCTTGGAGGAGGAGGAGGAGAAGCGGTGGAGGTTGGAGCGAAGTGAATCGGAGAGGAATCGGAGCTCGTGGAGCTTGGTGTCGAGGGTTCCGACGCAGAAAACTCGAAGAGTTGTGGAGTGGTTGTGGTGTGCCATATTAGAGAGTCAAGGGAATGGAGGGAGAAATCACACCTTTCTTTGCCTCAACAAACTCACTCGAAATATTGTAGCATTCCCTTCCCATGTGCCATTAAACGGACTTTCAACCAAACAAGATACGATTTCTTCACAAAATCATTACAGTTGGCATCACTTTTCAATCGCCTCCTGTTAACTCATTTTCTGCTCACCGCTTACATTTTTATTTTCTCTAGTCTCTCTCCTTCGTAAACAATTGTGGTTTCTATACATGTTCCAAACTGATCTCAACATCAGAATTTTTTTTTATTAAAAATATATTTTAACAGCACACGTGGAGTGATATTTACTAAAAGAGCTAATTAACTTTAAGGATATTTTCATCGGAATCATTTCTTTAAAATTTTCTTTAAAAACTTCAATTTTTTATATTTTAATCTAAGGGTGTTGCTCCCTCCATCACCTTAAGTGTTTCTGCATCTCTATTTTATTCCAAAAATACTCTACACATCTCTACTATTTTTTTTATTCCAAAAATACCTTACACCTCCCAACTATCCTCAACAATCTTTCTCTTACTCTCTCTGTGTTAATGGAACATTCATATGACTTAGATTTAAACTTGTGATATATTGCAAAATATAAAATTTAGAAAAAACTTCAATATTAGTGCTTCTAGCACTTCCATTTTATAAACTTAAATAATATATTATTATATACTAACTTTATAATGACGAAAGAACTAAATAAATTCCAAATCTTTAACAAATAACTTTTCTTTTATATTTTAAGTATTTAATAATATTTTTATATTATTTATCTAATAAATTAAATACTTTATTTAAGTTATTTGAGTCAAACATGTTAGTAAGTTAAAACATAATATAATGTTAAAAATTATAGATATTAAATGTAAAAAAAACACACGTATATATAAACATTTTTCTAGAAATTTAGAACAAAATTTTAACATTTATTAAGTAATTTGAAGGAAAAAAAATATATTGAACATTGAAAATAAGATTGAATCAAACTTATTTAAGGGAAAGTGTAAATAAAATTTTGCAATATAACACAAGTTTAAAAGAGAAAGATTGTTGAATATAGTGGGGAGGTGTAAGATATTTTTGGAATAAAAGAAAATAGTGGGGATGTGTAGAGTATTTATGGAATAAAAGAAAATAGTGGAGAGGTGCATGAGCCCTTGGGGTGGTGGAGGGAGCAACACCCTTAATCCAAATATTAGAGCGGTCAAAACGGGTAACCCGGCCCGACCCACCACGGATTGGTGGGTTAAACGGGTTGGCTCATTGACTCCCTTAATTAACTTTTTTTTTCACCCTCTTCTTCTGAGATTCTTATAACATGTTACTTTGACCGATCAAATTGAAACAGTAATAATTATACAAATTGATATAAAAGAAAATGAAACAAAAGAAATATATTGTTATATATATTCTAACCTATCAAGCATCAAATTTTGCCAATTTAGTTTAATGAGACATACACAACCGTTTGACCAAGAAACTACATATAAGCGTTAACAAAAATATATAGCACAAGATAAAATCGTCATGCTTGTAGATATGTCTAAAAACAAGATAAAACAAATGATATATTCCTGAATTATCCAATCTATAATATTATCCATCTATTAAATTGGAGTTCTGAATGAATAAATCCACAGTATTATGCTCTCTTGAAGTATCTTCTTCTTTATCTCCATCTAAAATATTATCTAATTTATAATCTTAGGGTTTTATTTACAGAGGAGGACTTTTCGAAAGACAGTAGCGCGAAAGGCTCTATTTGGTTGTGTGTTTTGAATAATTAATAGGATTTGAATAATTAATTTAATTAATTTGATTTAATTAAAAAGAAATACGTGGGTTGGTGAGCCAATCCGACCCACCACGGGTTCAACCCGTGTGAGCCGGGTTCTTAGTGAGTCGGGTCAAAATTGGCTCGCATCAAAATTTTTGCATTTTTTCCAACCCAACCTGGCTCAACTCGTAGTGAGCCAGATTGACTCACGGGTTTCAACCCATTTTGACGATACTACCAAATATCTTATTATTTTTGTTTTTATCGTTAATGATGTGGTTATATTTTTTTTGATCTTCAACTCATCATTAAGTTTTTCCTTTTTTTTATCACTCAATTTATCTTTGTTAAAAAATAAGTTGACTAATAAATTCAGAGAAACTGAAAAAAAAAACTAAATTAATTAACAAATACCAATTGTAATATTCTATTTTGATAGTACTCATAAAAAAACATCAATTATAAAAAAAATAAACACAGATAAAACTTAAATAAATTATTACATAAGGCTATTATAAGATTATTATAATTATGTCAAACATAATTATAACATCTATATATATATATATAAAGTTTTATACGCATAATAATTATATTACATTGAATCAAAAACATAATACTGATTTCTAAAACTAATAAATCAGAAAACCAAAATCAAGTACTTCTAAGTTTTAATACCACTTTTATTTCTATTAGATTAATTGAACATCTTAATTTGTTCGTACCATTAAAAGGGTGATTATTGTAAATAAGAAAAAACTCACATACAAACAAATAGAAAATTAAAAATAAACCAATGTACTAAAAATGTTATCATAAAATAAAAACATAGATGTTAATATATATATATATATAAAAGTTATGTTAACCAAATCCTAATACATATAACCATTCATTCTAGACATGACTATCTAGATATATGTATTGATGTTAAATTTTGGGAGTTCTATACTTGTGATGGTGGAATAGTTTGTTCATTCAATCTATCTACAATGTTAGTTCGTTAACCATCTATGATCAAGGTAAAATCCCTATACTAGGATCTCTTACTCCTTTGACCATATACGATATCCTTCTCTGCTAAAGCTTAAATGATTATTAGAGGGTGATGATAATTTCTAATGTACATAATTACTATATCAATACATATACTACTTAAAACCATTATAAGAACTTTTCATTGGAATTCTTTTCTACACATACATCATTCACTAAGATCATTTAGATTTTATTTAAAATTATTATTTAGTTTTTGGATGAATGATTTATATCCTATATAATTTTTATATATTTTAATCAATATTTATTTAAAGAAGTGATATTTATTTATATATTTCATATTAACTTTTACACTAAATATCATTGTTTTTTTAATAATATATTACCTATTACAGTATTTAATAAAGCTTTGTGAATAATTATTTCTCTTTAAAACTTTCTTTTTATACTTTTTAGTCTTTTCCTGATAATTTATTTGTTTTTAATTTGATTGCATCTCGCTGAGAAATTAGGAAGTATTTCTATCTTATGAGAATTTCAAGAGTGTGAATTCCTATTTGTTTTATACTTTTATTTTATTTATGTTTTGTCATTAATCTTAATGTGATGTGATTAGATGAGAAAAATATTCTCTCAATTTAAATTTAAGAAAATCTGGTTATTTGTTTTGTGAACTACTGTGAGGACTATACATTTCTACGGAAAGATAAAGACATTGAAAAACAAATAGTGTTCTTTTATTTTAATTCTATTTGTATTTTCAATAGACATTGAGAATTTCAAAGTGTGAAAATTTCTATTTGTTTTATAATTTTATTTTATTTTATTTATGTTTTGTCATTAATATAATGTGATGTGATTAGATGAGAAAAAATGTTCTCTCAATTTAAATTTAAGAAAATTTGGTTATTTATTTTGTGAACTACTATGAGGACTATTTCCATGAAAAGATATAGACATTGAGAAATAAATAGTTTTTTTTTTCTATTTTAAGGTTTAATTATTTTTGAGGTTTTCAATTTTGGTGAGAAGTCTTAAATAGGTTATTGTTTATTTTTTGTTTTAATTAGATCTCTATTTTTAAAAAATTAAGCAATTAGGTTATTCCCGTTAGTTTCATACTAATACCGTTAAAAAAGGTATCACGTGTCAGTTCATGATTTTTTTGAATTTTTTAAATATTTTTTTATTATTTTTTATTTACTTTTAATTTTTTAAAGAAAATAAAATAAAAATGTCACGTGTCAAACTGACATTGTGCCACGTGGCAATGACAATACAGTGCCACGTGTCATTGTCAGACCATATATCATTGCATTAGTATTAGTTTGGTCTATGTATTTTTATTTTGTCTTAATTTGGTCCCTACATTTTTATTTTGTCTCAATTTGGTCTTAATTTTAAAAATTAAACAATTAGTATCTCTCTAAATTCAAACAAAGTTTAATTTGTATATAAATATTAATAAATATTTTATTAAAATTGATATTTTTATTAAATATTTTAACAAGATTAAGTTTTTTTATATGTTTATTTAATTAATTATATAAATGTTAATTATGTTTTTTAAATATGCCTCTAAGAGTTAAAAAAAACAATAAGATGACATGTTGGTGTAAATTTTCCAAATGATATAGTTTATCAAACAAATTGTTGATGTGAATTTCACTTTTTTTTAATAAAAAGTTGGAGAAAGTTTCCGTGAAAATGGTAATTAAAGGTAATTACTTCTTTCACACCAACATGTTATGTCCTTGTTTTTTTAAACCCTTATAGGTATATTTAAATAACATAATTAACATTTATATAATTAATTAAATATAAATATAAATAAACTTAATATTGTTAAAAATATTTAATAAAAATATTTGTTAAGATTTATATACAATTTAAATTTTGTTTGAATTTGGGAAATGACAAAATTGTTTAATTTTTAAAATTAAGACTAAATTGTGACAAAATAAAAATACAAGAACCAAATTGAGATACAATAAAAATATAGGAACCAAATTGAGACTAATATAATGACACGTGGCTTAACAATGACATGTGGCTTGACAATGACACGTGAGACTGTTAGTGCCATGTCACACTGTCAGTTTGATACGTGACATTTTTATTTTATTTTCTTAAAAAAAAATTAAAAGTAAATAAAAAATAAAACTAAAAATAATAAAATATTTAAAAAATTCAAAAAAATCATGAACTAACACGTGACACCTTTTTTAACGGTGTTAGTATGGAACTAACAGCAAGAACTTAATTACTTTAATTTTTCGAAAATAAAGACCCAATTGAAACAAAAAATAAACAAAAACATATCTGAGACTTCTCAACAAAATTAGGGACATCAAATGATTAAACCTTATTTTAATTCTATTTGTATCAATATTTGTATCTTCATATATATTT